TTGTTCATGGTGGATTCAAGAGACTTAAAGGGAAAGAAAGTTGTGTGATGTTCATTGTTTTTTAGCCAAGACTAACTAAAAATCAAGCAGAGGTAAGTCAGCATGTTAGAACGCTTGAGGTATTTCCAGAGTTAAGGCCTGGTTCTGCTCTTTCAAGGATCAAGCATAAAGGAAGATGATTTTGCTTATGCACCATTTTGTTTTTCTGGTGGAAATTGAGTTGTTTGCCTGCTCAGAAGGAAGCCCATCCTGAGTTCAGTTGAATTTATTTCTTGGTCATCAGTACTCACTTGAAGGGCACTGTTTTTTAGCTTGAATCTTATTTGGACAACCTCTAAGCTTCTTTAGAAGACATATTTCCCCTCTCCATTCAGTTCCATATTCAGGACAATGACAGGAGAAAATGCTTTTGCTTTCTCAGGCTGGGTTGGTTCAAAGCTTTCCTGGGCGAAGGGGTTCAGCTAGTTGGCATACACTGAGGCTTGCCATTTACTCAGAGGTGAGGGGCACTTAACCTCAGTCTGTTTATTCCCACAGAAGTGCCAGGTGGTTTCCAGGGCCTTGTTGTTTAAATAATCCTTCTCATTTCTCAGTTGAAAAGAAACAATGTTCCAAGCTCTAAGGAGCTTTTCAAAGGAGAGTTTGTACTTCTGGAACATGTTAAGTTCTGCTTAACTGATTCACGTGATGAAAAGAACTTTAACTTCAAGAGTATTAGAAGCAAATGAAATCTTACACAAGCAAGTGTGTGTGTTTGTGTATAAATACACACACACCCCTTTTCAGAAGTAAGTCCCATTGAGTCCAATGGGACTTACTGTCAAGTAACACTATGCAGGAATGTCATCTAAGGGATAAAAGAAGAGAAATTGCACCATACTGAATTCTGCTTTATTTTGCAAATCATTTCAGAGACAGGGGTGCCTGGGTCTGATTCAGGCAGTATTAAGCTGATAAGAGAAAGAGCCCAACATGAATGCATAAGGAAATACTGTAACAGAGAAGGAAAGTGTGGAAGAAAAAACAGCTCAGGATTGTCTAAGCCTTTTTTCCTAGTGGTGGTGGTTGTCGTCATCGTTGTTGTTTTGCAAAGCTTAAGTCAGGGGTGTCCCCAGCTTATGATTAAAAAAAATCAAGATGGCCCTAATGGTGGGATCAAAGTGCTCTTTCTCTCTGTATTTAGAGTGCTGAGGAAGGGATTGTGATGTAATAATTTGGGAGGCAGTGGAGTGTACTGGTTAAGGTATTAGATTAGAAGCAGGAAGTCCATGCTCTAGGCCACCTTCAGTGATGGAAGTTTGGGTCACTATCTCTCAACATCATCTACCACGCAGTGTCGTGGTTATGGGAAAAAACAGGAGAAGAGAGTGCAATGTAACCCCCAGAGCTTCTGAATGAAAGGCAGGATATTGTTCCAGTAAATAATAACATTGATGGACATTGAAAGGCTCGGTGGACAACTGGGAAGTGTCATTTTTTTTGCTTCTCGCAATCCCAAGTGGACCCTTTTTAGAGGACATCCCAGTGCATTCAGCAAATGGCCAGTGTCTTTAATTTTGCTTTTATGCACAGCCTTGCTAGTTCAATCAGTGCTACTCCTAATGTTGCAGGCAGAAATTCACCAGGTTTGTCTGTAAGCAAAGGGCATTATTATTTCTAGTCCCTACTACCCCGTTCTCTTTGCACAAAAACCCCTTAACCTACTTGCCTGAGATCTGTCACAGATATTTCTCGCTACAGAGTACATTTCTGTGGCAAATTTCATTACATTCTGTCTCAAACAAAAATGCTATGGGTAAAATGAAGGTTTCAATGGATCCCTAAATGAACTGACAAAACGTCTACTCTACATGGTATACAGTTAAAGCAGCTTTCTGCAAATGTGAATGTATGCTTACTATTTCTGTGCAGTCATGTATAAGTTTACAAAAAAGAAAACAAGGAAAAAGGAGCAAACATTTGGATACATTATCAGTCAGTATTTTCAAACACCTTTGGCAGAAATAACAGCATTCTAATGTTTCTTGTAGCCAGGTAAGAGTGTTTTATTCTTGCATTATGGAACTTTCCCCCCTCCCCTTGTAGAACTCTTCTAGACCAGAAATATTCTTAGATCTCCTTGCATACAATACATGCTTGAGATCTTCAATAAATATTCATGAAGATCGTTCCAAAACCTTTATCTTTCTTTTCTGTGAGTACTTCACGATTGGTTTGGAGGTATGTTCTAATTTGTTGTCTTGTGTAATATCCAACCTCTTTTCACCTTCAATTTCTTCACTGACATGCAACTTTAGGATATGTTGATATTTAGCTGAACCCACTCTTCCTTTCACACCCACAATATTTTGCACATGCCCACAAGGCATAAGAGAGCCATGATTGCTTTTTTATTGCATTTATATCTTGCTATAATCCAGATTGACATCCAGCAACTTCCTGGGCTTAGTGGTTGGCAAAGTGTCCTTTTCTTCAAATATATCATCTTTTCTTTCTTTCTCCAAATGTATCTTGAGTAACTGTGGCCAAAGAATTCAATTTTTAGTCCATCACTCCAAACCACTTTGCTTCAAAACATTTCAGAGTAATCAAGGTTGGTTTTTGCATACTTTAGATGAGGACTTTGTGATGGAGTTGGAACAAAGGTTTCTACTGATAACTGTTCCATGCAGATCATTGATGTATAACCAACGCCGTATTATGGACCTGTGGTCAGCAAACGTTTTCAGCAGTTGTTTGCCATGATATGTGGATTCTGTTGTGCAGATCTGGCCCGTTTGGGGGCAATTCTAGCACAGGTTTTTCTGTTCCAGATCTTGCATTTGACTTCAACAGTTCATGTAACTTCAATTTCTCAGTAATGTTTTTCACAGTTGAAATTGCAAGCTGGAACCATTTTAGATTTTTTTTTAAAAAAAGTGATCATCCGCTTTGTAAGAATGAATTCTCTCCATTTTCATACCCTCAGACAGCTGCTTAGAGGAGCTCGTGGCTGTGGAAAACCTGCTAAACAACAATCTCAACCTGAGAGATTAGAAGGGCTCCACTGGAATTATCTTCAGTTGCCTAAGCGTTGGCCTAAAGTCAATAATATTTTGGGACCGTATTAACAATTTTAGAGTAGTTTTTAAAAGTAGCACTGAATTAACTGGAAAATATCTGTCATATTCACTGTTTTCTAATTTTGAATCTGTAAACAAATTTGCCTTGTTGAACTTTATACCATGCAGAGATTGTGTCAGATTCATCTGGAGATCCATCAAAACGTACAATTTGACATAGTGCGCCTAAACTTTTGTATACAATGTATGTGCATTTGTGCATGCATCAGAATTTAAACCACATAATATGACATTCTGCATCTGTTTCTGTTAAATATGGCATGCTTTGTTCCTTTATAGTGATCTATTAATTCTTATAAAATATAGTCTTTTTGCTGAGAAGTTCTAATACTTTAAAAGACTAATTTTTAAAGAAATGCAAGTTAAAACCCCTGCACTAATTTCTGTGAAATTTGATATGCTTTTTTACATGTCATGTCCTAACATCCTCATAAATTTAATCCCCTTTTGATAAAAAACAAAAAAAGTTAGATGCCTCCTTTCTGAGTTCAGGATCTGACCACACCATAATCTTTGCACTCATGAACACAGCTTGTTCTCAAACTGTGGAAACCTTTGAAACACACAGCTACTTTTCTAATCATTTCCACTTCCCCATTTTTGATAACAGATATAAAAAATAAAAGAACATCAGCATCAAGTTGGAATTCCTATTTTAGTGTAGGAATAAAAATGGCTCATGTTTTATGAAACCTGGGGAGAGAGGCTAAATTGGCAGGAATAAGGGAGGATGGATTTCTCTCAGGGTCTCATCCTGTTTGATCATTTTCACACCTATTTTATATCTTACTTTTAAGCTGTATTTTTAAGACTTGTGAAAATTCTATGGATAGCCAAGAAAACAAGCCAACGGATCATCGAATAAATCAACCCAGAGTTCTCATTCGAGGCACAAATGATCAGGCTCAATTTATCCTACTATGGACACATTATGTGAAGACTGAGCTCTCTGGAGAAGGCTCTCATGCTGGGAAATGTGAAGGAAAGAGAAGATGACGACCAGCAACAAGGTGGATGGACTCAGTTACAGTGGTAGTGAGTGCACTGTTGGAAGACCTGTAGGACCAGGTTGGGGGCAGATCCTCCTGGAGAAAAATCTATCTATTTGATTGCTAAGAGTCAAAACTGACTTGATAGAACATAATCAATCAATCTAATGAAAGACCCAGGTTCCTTGAAAAATCCATACTGCATGGAAAGGTGAAAGGAAAGGGAAGAAAAAGACAACCAGCAGCAAGGTGGACTCAGTTATAGCGGCAAAGGGGACACCATTGGAAGACCTGAAAGACCAGGTTGGGGACAGATCATGCTGCAGAAAATCTATCTATGTGGTCAGTAGGAGTTGAAAGCAACTTGATGGTACATAATCAATCAATCAATCAATCAATCAATCATTTAATAATTCATTAAATATATATGCTGCCCAACTCCCAGCAACTCTGGGTGGTTTACAAATTGTTAAAAACATTTAAAAACAAGTAACAGTACAAGAAGCACAAAACAAAGAAACCAAGATGGCAGAGAAAAGAAACCTAGATGGGAGCAAGAGAAGGAAGAAAAGGAGCTTCCATCATCCTCACCAAAGGCCAGGGTTCCCGTCAATTATTTAAGTCAAACTGAATTTAATTAGTGACAAGGATAACAGTAAAGCCTTAGAATTGTACACCCGCCCCAACAAGTCACTTTTTTTGCTCCATGTTTTACACCCTTCCCCCAGATACTCCCCATGACATACATTGCAGCTTTTCCAAAAACTGGTATTTCTCTTGAGGCATCCATTTCCTAACTCAGAGATAAGCATTTGGATCCATCAGAGGGAGGGATTTTAATAAATACTTGGAAGAACCATCTGTCAGACCATAAAACTTAACAGCAATATGCTTCTCATACAGATCTCTTCCACAAGAGAAGGTTTGCACAAGAAGCAGATCTTCTTTAGCTCAGGGGCGCGAAGGCGAGCGCAGAGCAATGGACATCATCAGAAGCCTTGAAGGGAGGGCAAACTCATAGGTTAGCAAAAGTTTAAACACTGTTCTTACAGCTTTTTTCCACAGCTGGCATACAACTCACTGCATAGACAGTACAGATGTTTCCAGCAGCACAAGATGCGTTCAGGGAGTCGAAAAATTAGTGTAGTTGGACTAAAGGGACGTTTGCAGGCATAAATAGCTAGATTTTCCTCTCTTCCCCTTGCAGATTTTCCAGCTGGGAGTCAAAGCAAGTGCTCCTAACAATCTGAGAGCCACAGGAACACCCGTAAGTGCAAAATGTTTGTGTGAATGATTAATGTACAGCGATTAAGTTGAGCAATTGTATATTTATGCCCAGTTCTTAAAGCAGAAGAGCTTTTTAAAGGAAAGCTAAAATTTAGTGTTTTAACTATAATCTTAGAATTGCAAGTTTGTTTGCCTTTATACAATTCTGGTGTTTTCCAAAATATTCTCCCTCCCTGAAATACTGCCGCTAGGTAATGAATTAAAGTTGAAATGGATTAAGTGAGCATTCTGTGCTTCTTTATTTTATTTTTAAAGAAATAGGTCTTAGACTGAAAAATCAAAAACGCTATATATTCTTCAGCGTACGTATTTGTACTGAAACATTGGTGACCGGAATTAAGCCAAATTTATGATGCTAATAAGGTCACAAATCAAATCAGCCTGTTAAAAGCATATTGTGAAAAACACAATTTTTCCCCCCAAATTAGAAATGGATGCTTGAGTTTCTGTTGCAATTTTAAAGGATGGTCAGTGGAAAGAAAGCTGAAATTCTTCTACCCTACTCTTTTAAATTTAGCAATTTTTCTGGCAGGGTATGTTCTCTGTGCTTGAAACTTAACCTACAATTAGCACAGGAGTATCGGTAGTAGTAAATCTGGCCAAGTTAATTTAAGCTGTGCCCTGCAGTGATGTCACTGCACAAACCCCTTCTTTACCCACCTGTATCGTGTTGCAGGGCAGGGCTGGGGTAGTGACATGACTGCATGTGCACGAAAGCACTTCTCATGTCTTCCTTGCTGGCAAAAAACAGGCCCGCTGACTTGTTTTTGCCTGGCAATTGCTAATTACTACCCAAGAACAGATTAGCTGCTCTGTCTGTTTTTTCTGGCAAGAAATAACGAAAGTGCCTTTTTCTTTGCATGGGTTTTTAAAAAAAAATCTGCTGGGCATCAAGTGATGTCTGTGGACTTCATGAATTATAGGCAGAGATTAAGCATTGTGGAATCCACTAATGTGGCTGTTTTTATTTGGTTGTTTGGTTTTCTCCCCAGGGGCAAGGAAATGGGAAACTCGCTGCTTATGCCTGGTTCTGACAAGACCATCACAGCACTACTTGTAACACTCCTGAGTTGTGCTGTTTGCGTCCCCCTTGATGGAGATACCCTTTGTGGTGCAGGAGACCCAGCGACGTACAGCATTGTGTTCACGGGGAAATGGAGCCAAGTAGCTTTTCCAAAGCAGTATCCACTGTATAGACCTCCAGCACAGTGGTCCTCACTCCTAGGTAAGGAAAACCAAGTGCCCTCATCCGAGGGTCTCCACAGGATAGTACCAAAAATCAACATGGCGGGCACGGCCACACTATCAAAGCCCCAATCCTTCTGTGTGGTTGAGGCTGCCATCTTAACTTTTTGACCCCTCCTAGGGACACCCCTGTCCTTACCTCTTTCTTCTTCTCTTGCTGGTTATTCAGTTACATCCAAATTCATGTCCCTGAGTACATCACAGAATGCACGATCCGGGAGAGCGTCTATGGCTGGTTTCAATTTTCTGCAGCAGAAGTAAACAACATTCCTTATGGTTTGAGACACAAACGGCCTCCCTTCAAAAAGACAAGAGAGAAACAAGATGGCTTTATTGATGAAGTAATTCCAAATCTGTCTTTTGCGTGTCTTGTCTTCAACAGGCGTGGCCCACAATTCGGACTACAGCATGTGGAAAGCCAACGAGTATGCCAGCAACGGCATGCGTGACTTTGTTGAAAGAGGGGAACCCTGGGCACTCATGAAGGAAATAGAAGCAGCTGGAGAGAAAATGCAAAGCATTTACGGAATCTTCTCTGCTTCTGCTGTGGCCACCGGGACGGGACAGACTTCAACTGTCTTTGAAGTCGATGCAAGACACCCCTTAGTAAGTTGGAAATGTCTTGTAGCCTTTTGTTTAAGGAGTAGGCACCGTCGCAAAGCAGTAAAGCTGCAAATGGATTAAAGAAATAATCCATTATACTTAAGATGAGCAGTTATTATTCTTTTAATTACCGTTGCATAAATTTGCAAGCAATTAAATCAGTAGAGGGTTTGGAGCATGAATATATCTCAACTGGCATGCCTTGGCATTTTCTGCTGTATTTGATTGCACTGAAGATTAAGGACTGTGCCTATCACCCACATATTTTATTACCATAAAAAGACTGGATTATTTGGGGAAACCTTTTAATTCATTGAGAAGGTCATCAGTGAAATATAACTCATTACTAAGACTGCAGCTCTAGGACTCATGTGGCTATGAATTCAACTATACTAAAATAATGCTTCACTTTATATTACTTATAGTCTAGGAAGTTTAATCTATCACACACTGCTGACTGTCTATTTTTATTGTCAACTGCTTTGAACTTCTTGGGAAATATTTTTAGTTGAATTTGAAAATAACTTGGATTATTTTCTAACTCCTTGATTGTAATAATTCTAGCATGTGGCTACATTGGCTTATTTAGATCAAGATCTGTGGTAAAATGATCTAATTAGAGAGAACGATGCTTAGACAAGTTTTTGACGCAACTGTTTTTCTAAATGTCCAGGTATCCATTGCAGTACGAATCGTGCCCAGTCCTGACTGGTTTGTGGGGATTGAGAATTTTAATTTGTGTGAAAAGGATCACTGGAAACACCAAGTATCTATGGACCTATTCCCATATGATGCTGGAACTGATAGCGGCTTTACGTTTTCCTCACCCAACTTCGCAACAATCCCCCGGGATACAATCACAGAAGTAAGTTTCTTTACAGTTTACCAACTCCTGGAGTTCTCCATTTCATTAATATTTTTTTGTGCTAATTATTAAGGTCAACTGTGATGGCTTCATCTTATATATATCTTATATATTCATATCTATATTGGCCATACAGAGAAAGTTTGGTGTAGTGGTTAAGGGAACAGGTTAGAGAGAGGGAGACTAGGAGTTCTAGTCCCACCTCAAGCACTAGAGTGACCTTGGGCCAGTCCCTCTTTCTCTGCCCTGGCAATGGTAAACCACTTCTGAAAAACCTTGCCAAGAAAACTGCAGGGACTAGGCCAGGTAGTCACCAGGAGTCAACATTGACTCGGCACCCAAATACATTCTTCAGGAATGGCAAGACGAAAACTTTTGCTTCTGTGGTTATTCTCACAATCAATCAATCTTCTATGACTGGGGGAAGTAAGCTAACTTCTCACCATTGCTTATGAAACCGGCAGGATTATTTCTAATCATGGTTAAGTTTAAATATAGATTGAGTTTAAGATAGCATACTGAATGTTCATCTAAAATACTAACAGGAGATGGGAAGAGGTTTGGGGAGGGAAATACAGAATATGTTTTATGGTTGAATAAAATGAATTTCCCTAGGGCAATTTTTTAAAAAGACCCTAATGTTCTATGTGAGAGCGAGTTTGGTGTAGTGGTTAAAGACACCAGGCTACACACTGGGAGATTGAGTTCTAGTCCTGCTTTGGGCACAAAGCCAGCTGGGGTTTGGGGCCAGTTGTTCCCTCAACCCTGGGAAGAAGGAGGCCAGGGCAAACCATGTCTGAAAAACCTTGCCAAGAAAACTGCAGGGACTAGTCTATGTTGATGTCAGTTGGACTCATGCTTTAAAAACTTGGTCTTATTCTAGGGATGGGGAGACCATCAGTTTGTCCATATGCCAGCAACATTTCCTCTTTTGACAGTGCAAGTCAAGCACTTTCTCTAAGACTGAAAAACACATTCTAGAGCAGTGTTTCTCAGCCTTGGCAACTTGGAGACAACTTCAAGGTGCCAAGGCTGAGAAATACTGTTCTAGAGGAAGTCATCTTTTGTCAGAAGAAATGTAGAGCTATTTTTTTCAGTCAAGGAAACAAATATTCTTTGTTTATATGTACAGTAGGTGATTGCATACTCTATGCATGTTAGCACTGATAGTCTTTATACTATTAAAATTGTATAGAAGAATATTTAAATTTTGAGTGTACCACACTGAAATCCTTTTTGGGGTGTGTGGGTATAAATTTTTATAAATGGAATTGAACCGATGATTTCTGTTTCTCAGAATAGTACCAAAAATTCATGTGTAATGCCACAACCCACAAGATTGAGTTTCTGATTTTCTAAAATGTTTGATTTTTAAAAAACATAAAGGAGTTTTTCTTACAAATTTTGTGTTTGTATCATCACACACTCAAAATAAGATTATTTGTGCATGTAGAGACATAATTTATCAATGTCTCTTGAAGGTCCATGCTTATTAGGGCATTTTATGACATTCTTGGCTCTTTTAGCATTTTCCTCTTTTGTTGACTGAGACAACCTCATCGTCATCATCAACGTTCACAACACAGTATTTCCATTATTTTGGAAGCTCCTTGGTACACTTCTGAACAGAAATTATCTGAGATTAATTCAGAATAACAGAAGCATATGGTGTGTGATAAGCATGATGTTGGAAAGAGACTGGTTCCCCTTTTGCACAGACTAAACATACCAGGCCCATACAGATGGGGGAAGGACCCTCTACCTGCACTTGTTTGCAAAGGTACCCATTTGTCAGGAAATAAACAAACAAACAAAAAAAGATAAGGCAATGGTCTACTAGAAATGTCTAGGGGGCTATAGAAAGTAGCAAGAGCATCTTCTCACATTGTCTTCAGGTACATTGTCAGCTAGAGCACATGAGTCACACGACCTGGTCAACAGCTGGGAAATAATTAGGAACGCACGCAAATCACTTTCAACTGAACACCTAGGCATGAAATTCATCCACAGAGACTGGATGAGTTCAAAGTTGCAGCAAAACTTTACAATATACCTTTGCTCTCTCGCACACTCATCCCTGCTTACCACATCCTTCTCAACTAGACTGTTTAGGCACTAACTAGAGAATGAAAGCCATCAAATCTGGACCCAGAATGACTCAGAAAGTGGGCAGGTTTCATGACTCCAAATTTATCCCCCAAAGTCCTTCCTTTGTTCATTCAAAATCTGGTAGCTGCTGATGGGATTAGGAGGGTTTCTGTGTGCTTGGCACCCAGCCTCCTTTGTCTTCTGATGACATTTCTCCTTTGATCCTTAATGCCTTGATTCCTTCTTATCTACCGCCCAATGGGAACTTCTGATCAGATTCCTGGCTTTTGTCCTCTCTGCATACGTGCCTACTCCTTTTTTAGGTTATGGCAACTTCAGTCTATTCTCATGTTCTCACACTTCCAGCCTATCTATTGGATACCTCAGTATTACTATAAGGCAATGTTTCTCAACCTTGGCAACTCTAAGATGTGTGGACTTCAACTCCTAGAATTCCCCAGCCAGCCATGCTAAATGAGTTGCTAAGGTTGAGAAACACTGCTATAGGGTGTTTTAGTCAGAGAGAACTGGGAATGCTGGCTGGCTGTTGGAAGGAGGAAGGAAGCCTGCAAAGAAGGGAGGGTGGAAAACAGGAGCTGGAAACCTAACCAGGGTTCTTCCCACTGCAACAATTTGTGGTTGACTAAATTCACCTCCTTTTTGTATGTGCTTGACTTCACAGATAACTTGTTCTTCTCCAAGTCACCCAGCAAACTCATTTTATTATCCCAAGCTTAAAACTCTGCCTCCTATTGCCCGAGTGACCATGGTAAAACTTAAAAGAAAGAAGTTGGGGTTCCAAGTCTCTCAACCAAACGTCACAACCATAGAAAATGAAATAGAGGATTCAGTCTCTGGTAAGTGCTTTATCCCTTGATAAAGTGAAAGTTTTGTATTAATAATTCAGCCATCAGAGAAATGCATACCCTAATGGGCAAATGGGACATATTCCACCAATCAACAGCTGTAAAACGTCCCCTATGAGAGTATAGGATAAAGGTAGGGAAATGATGGTGAGTAGAAATATTCAAGAAATTGGGAAATCTTGTTAAATAGTTCCTTCATTTTGCCAGTCCTTAAATTACAGCCACATGGCCGTATTTGTGCACCCTCCAGGATCTGTATCAATTCATGGTAGCTTCTCCCTGTGGAGAGCTTTCCTGATTGGTGGGAAATCTGGCATGGAAAATCTTACACCAAGATTGTAGAATTTAGCTATTTCAGTAAAATTCTGTTAGGAATTATGGGTTTCTTGCTGTTTAAATGGATTGTCTTGAAGAGCACATGTCCTTTATCACCTATCAGCAACCACAGTGAACAAGATTTCAGAGCTTCCTTGATAACATTTGCTTTCTCAAAGGAAAAAAAAATGGGCACCCCCTTCCTTGGAATGAGATTTCATTTTCTGAATTGAATCAATGGTTGGATCCAATTTTGCCTGATCTGCACATACCTCCTTTCATGCACTGCCAAATTTGTCAGTTCTATTTGCTTTTCTCCCTTCTTTCTGAAGCTGTTGCAGTGGCTTTTTGGGGTTTCATGCTGCAATTTCACACATTTATCCTGTATGTTTGTCTTGGGGAAAATTAAATCAATTGAATGTCCAAGAAAAGCTGTATCTTGTAGTTGTATGTGAAAACTGACATGTGTTTCAACTGCTTCTGTACTGCAGAAACGCCCTTGGATTGTGAGACGTCCCTCTGGTCTTCCTGGGGCCTTTGTCGTGGCACATGTGGAAATTTAGGAGTGAAAAAACGAACTCGGTATATACTTCTTCAGCCTGCCAACAATGGAACTCCCTGCCCAGATCTGAGTGAAGAAACACAGTGTGAACCAGATAATTGTGTCTGAGATAATTTCTTTGGACAATTGTTTACCTCATATTATTTGGGAGATATGTAGGGTATCTATGTGTTAATGTTTTTTATAGCTCAAGGTAGTTGTAATATGTTGTTGACTTTTATAGATACATACTTAGATACGTTTGTTTTCTACACATTTATTGTGAACTCCTACAGTGCCACCCAGCGGTCACAAATGTCATAAACTTGGAGTTACTAACATCTGTATGGAGAAAGGAGGCATTGAAGAGAGTTTTCATCTCTTCTGCTTCTAGAATGTATTTAATGTAGGAAAATGCTTTTGAGGAAGAATGAACTAGTTTCTACTGACTTGCACTATGCCAGAGAATAAAATGCATATGTTTTTAAGGGGATCAACTTGAACGAAAAAAAATACCAAGTCTCTCTCAAGAGGGAAGAAGTCCTAATATAAAATTATATGGCTAGTAATCAAATCAATCCTTATTGCAGTCATCCTATGACTAGTAATAAGCAAGGTAGAACAAAGTATCCTTAATCTGTTCATGTGCAATAATTCAGTTGTGTAGGACTTCCAGGCTGGAACACAAGAATCCCAACGGTTGTCAGTTTGTGTAGCCCAAATATGGTAACCCTAAGCTTGCAGGCTCCTCTTCCCATTATCCCATTCCCTCCTTTCTTCACAAAGCATCACATTGAGAACCATGCTACTTCAGGTACATATCAATCCACGGTTTTTGCAAACAAACAACAAAACTTGGTAGGGAATTGACAAGAGGAGTACCTGCCAACATATCAATTTCCTGATATGCAAAGGAATGACTTTTCTGCTCTGGATCACCTCTCCATCAGCCACCTCAAATTCTAGTGTTGCAAGAGAGACAACAGCTTTATTCCTACACCTGTCCCTAATTACTGGTTTCTGATAATGAGAAGGACCAAATGTTATATGCTTTCATCACCAGCAGAGGGGTCTGCAGATATGTTCAAAAGAGTCAAGATGGCAAGATGGCTCAATCAAAGCCCCATCTGTTTTTTATGGGCATCACCTGGTCACCAGGTTTGAGGGAGAAAGCATAGGTGGGACACATGTTTGCAGGCAGAAGATCCCAATTTAACTCTTGGCATCTGCAGTTGAAAGTCTCAGGAAGAAGGTAATGCAGATAATTCCCTGAAGCTTGGGAGGGACACTGGAGAGAGTGGCGCCTGGCAGATGCCATGGAAAGCTAGCCCTATGCCATAATCACAAAATGGCTTCCAGTTCAGCAGGCAAAGCTTGTCTTCGCTTTGGGGGTAGAATGGAATAAAAATAGCAAAGAAGGTCAGCTTTTAGGAGACACTGAGAAGGCTTAAAAAAAAAAAAATCTTCCAGCACTTAATCCAGAGATGGAGATGAAAAGACAATATAGCATAGCAGCTTCCAAACTGACAAAACTCCTGTAAAGAAATTGTACAGAACTAATGCAGAAAAGAGCACATTAAAAATAAAACAAGACATGGAAGGTCACTAGATAGCCTCACTTTGGGCCAGTCATGCTCACTCAACAAAATCTTCTTTACAGGTTCATTGTGGGGAGAAAGGAGGACTAGGATTGTCACATGGGTGTCCACGTGTGTGTGTGTGTGTGAATGTGCCAAGTTGGTGGCTGTAGCCCTGCAATTAGGTTTAGACTTTGACTTTTTTCATCCATCCTTCTGAATGCTCCTGTATGCCGTCATGAGCTCCTAGATTAAAAGAAGGATATAAATAAAAAATATATATAAATAAAATGTTTAGCCTGCTTTTCATTTAAAATAATCCCAACCCAAGTTACAATATAATAATATTAATAATAATAATAATAATAATTTTTAACACCATCAGACAAAAACATCTGCCTATCCCAGGTCCTTGGGAAAGACTCAACAGGTGGATAAAAATGCCAAATCCAGTCTAAACACCTGGCTGACAGTGCGACCAACCACAATAATAAACAATAATAAAGTAATAATAAAAACTTGCAAAATGTCCAAAGCTGACACCGAAAAATAGCATCGTAGTTCCAACTGCAACAACACACTCAACAGCAGAATCAGGTCAACCAGCAACTGTTACCTAAGCAGGGAAACTAAACAATATCAGGACAGGATGTGCAAGGATACAGATGGGTTACTCAGCTGAGGTGGACCCAAAGGACTTATCCCAGCATCCGCTCTTTCTCTGAAGGAGAATACGCAGGTGGAGGACCCTAATTGAAGCAGAGGGCTCTGCTTTCTTTTATGGAAATATTTCTGCCTTCCCTCAATCCTTGACTTCAGAAGAGGGCATCATTATTGCTTTCCCTTGGCGTAAGAACCCTCAGCTGATTACCACAAATATTCCTCATGTCAGGTTTTATTTCTGGTGTAGGCCTCACTGCATTACGATCCAAAACGAGTTATGGATGTTTTTATGACTCCAGAATTAAAACTATCCTTTGAAAACTCTTGGATTGACTTCTATGAAATTTGGCAAACTTTATCTTTTAACAGAGATCCAGATTTCTGTTAATTTAGTCCTGTTCTGTGAAAAGCTAAGAACTTATGAGCGCCTAAAAAACAGAACTGCAAAAACAATTTTCTCAAAAGTTTGTGTACCAATACATATGATATACTTCCTCTACTTACGGTGTTCTATATTTCTGAATTTTTAAAATTAAAAACAAACATTTCCCCCAAGTTAAATGACGGAATGATGGAGATTGTTTTTTCCAGTTCACACATTGTAATTTGGGTGGTTATATGTTATACATTTATGCACAGCATTTCAACCTATGGAGCAATTTTCATGACAGCTTTTTATTAAGTTAAAATATAGCTCTTCCTGGCACTCAGCGTTAATAAAATAAGTCTGCAATCTTGGGCCTATTTCCTTGTAAGCCACATGGAGTACAGCAGGAATGAGTTTGCAATAAACTAACATATTATAAAAGTGTCAAACAGAAGTGTGATTACATTCCTTCCTTTCTGCTACTGTATTTGATTTCAGATTAAATCCCACTGTGATAATACAGCAGAGGGCACTACAGTACCTCACACTCAGTAAAATGGTCCCCAGATTGGATTCTTGAGCTTTAGAGTAGAAATCTGTGCACGATAACTTCTTGAAAAATAAGGGGTTCTCTGCATTTTCCAGTTGTACAATGCTTTACAACCATATTTCTTAAAAGGGTTATGCTGAATGCTAACATCAGCCCTCAGTGTTTTATTAGAATTTCTGTCTGTGTGTTTGTGTGTGTTTAGTAAACAAACCTTAGGAGCTGTTAGAGGTAAAAAGTAGAATATGAATCTCACCAACAAATAAACATATGCGACATATCATGGGAAAGATGAGAGCAAAGGGAGTGTGACTGAGAAAGTGAAATGGGACATTGATCAGGGCTGTGCGAAGGCTTTCCCTGAATTTCTTGATCCTTAATTCTGAAGTGTGTCTTATCTGAATATATGGCAATAAATAAATAAATCTCTAAACACATCCTTAACATCCTGTTGGACACAGGTTTGGGTCAAGAAGTCATGGCCAGAAACAGGTTTTCTAACTGTTTTCCAACTACTCCTAATAGAGTAGTTTCACAGCCCACCTGTGAAAAGTGGAAAGGCATCTCTTGAAGCAGGAGTTTAACTCCCCTTTCATGTCTGGGACTTTTCTGGATCTTTATCGTCAGGCACATCTGCAGGGCTGGAGCCCAAAAGATCAAGATGGCAGCAATGCCCACCCAACTGAAGCTTTGCTCCTTGTTTACATGCATCATGTGACACACATAAAAAGGGGGCAGGGATTTGGCTGTAGGTCATGGCCCTCATCTTGGCTTTCGTGGCCCTCTCTATTTACTGCACATCGTTACGGAAGGTCAGGTGAGGTTAGATCTCTTGGAGGTAGGCGATGGGTTGGTCTTTCTCGTTTCTCTCCCTGCAACTTGAAAGGCGATTCTGGGGAGCCTCATAAATATACTGCTGGGGGGGCTGGGGGGGTGCATGGAAGGATATCAGTGGCTGAGAACAAAAACCCTAACCCTTGCTATTTTTCAGGCATACCTTCTGAACTACACCTCCAGTTACAATGTGAGTACCCTGATGGACTGCGGATTGAGAAGATTCTGCTGCTTCTAGTAAATACAGAAAACAAAACTGTTAGTTGTACAAGTCTGGATCAATGTCACTTCAGAGAAAGCAAGCATGTAATAGTCCTTTCTCTCTTGACGTACCAGACAGAAAGGTGGTCTGTTTTTCTCTGTATTCTCTTTCCTTTTACAATAATTCCATATATGGGATTTATTTATCAGATAAAAGCACATGGGAAAGCAATGGTAGGCAAATATTTAGTCTGATAGAAGCCCTCTGAAGAATCAGATTTCTGCTTTCCATTTCTATCTGCTCAGATCCTCCATTTCTAACAAAAGCTTTTACTATGTGGGTAACAAAGCCCAGCATCTATATTCATATGTTGGACTGGATTTTTAAGCCCCTTTCCTCTCTACTAAGAGTGTTTAGAATTACAGATACTTTTTAAAACAAAGTGTACCATGCTAATGCCTCTGTTCTCTCTGTCTGCTATTGCTCTATTTAATCCATCTCAGAACTCAAGAAAATACAATTCAGTGGTTTGTAAATGCCTCCAAGGCAGATTGAGAACATTCTACTGGATAGGAATGCTATGATGATTGTGCCCTGAGTCAGTGTTGACTCCTGGTGACTCCTGGACAAGTCCCTGCAGTTCTCTTGGCAAGATCTCAGAAGTGGCTTGCCACTGCCTCCTTCCCCGGGCTGAGGGAGAGTGGCTGGGCCACGGGGCCCCCGCTGG